CTTCCCATTATCTCCCGGTGCTCAGTGAGGGGCAGCAGAGAGCAGGGACAGGGATCCAGGATGGTGCCCCTCCCTCAGGGGCATTCTTGAAGCAGATGACATCAAGATAGATAGGAAAAACAGCCTGGCCTGGGGGCGGAGGGCGGAAGCTGGGCCCTGGGGGTGTGAAGGTGGCGGAGTGGGGCGGGGCCGGTGGAGCCCTGTGGGGGCTGGGGAAGAGGGGGAGGTTGACGGGGTGGGAGGCTCCGGCTTCGCCTGGCCATGCAGGGGACCCCCTGAGGCTGTCACATAAAATAAAAAAAACACGAATGGAGACAGGACGCCCTGGTTCAGAGCTGGACCCTCCTGGGAGGCTGGCAAAGGATCGGGTGTGGACAGAGCAGGGCAGAGGGGGGCTCGGGTCCCATCTCAAAACCAAGACGGGCTGAGCGCAGCACAGCGCCTGCTCTCCAGGAATGCCACGCGCTACGGCGGCTCTTCAGCCACCAAAGGGTAGATGCTACTAAGGTGGTGACTTTCTCGGGGTCATCTCATTATCATTTTTAACTCTGTGCCTTGTCCTACTCACACTCTGCCAGCGAGGACGCACCGAATACGTAAAAAAGGAACGCAGAGGAAATTTCTCTCGGTTTCTTAAATGGAGCTCACAGACTGCGGGTCTGAGGAGGGCCCCCCACGCCGTGCTTCCCGACGTCAACCGGAGAGAGAGCTCACCTTCTGTGTTCTCACTTTGCATACAAATTCTGTTTTCCAGGTTTCAATTTTTTTTGTGTGTGAGACAGAGTCTTACTCTGTCACCCTGGTTAGAGTACCATGGTGTCATCACAGCTCACAGCAACCTCAAACTTCCAGGCTAAAGTGATCCTCCTGCCTCAGCCTCCCAAGTAGCTGGGACTACAGGCATGCGCCACCATGCCCGGCTGATTTTTCTATTTTTAGTAGAGATGGGGGGGGGGGTCTCGCTCTTCTCAGGCTGGTCTTGATCTCCTGGCCTCAAGCGATCCTCCCGCCTTGGGCTCCCAGAGTGCTGGGATGACAGGCGTGAGCCACCGCATTGCTCACTGCATGAGCCTGGCCTGCTTTCTGGGTTTTTCAAGAAAAAGTACTCTTACACAGAGCAAGAAATATCACATAGGGAATTATTCATGCTCAAGTATTCAGGACACAAGGAGAACACAAAGAAACTTCATAGATAATTAAGCAACTAAAACTACTTTAGTAATTTCAATCTTTTCCTCTCAACTGAATCTTTCGCATGCTGAACCGAAGCACAGTGGACCTGTGCTGAACCAGCTGACCTCCGGCCTGCAGGGTGGCCCCGAGGCCCGGCTCCCGCACCCACCCTGAGACGGTGGCAGCCCCTCCCAGCATTCACGCCAGGGACCCCAAGACGGTCAGCTCCGGGCGCCAGGCTCTCAGGGGCGACCTCACTCCTGCAGAGTCTAAGACAGTCGCCTGGTGACTGGCGGGTGGGGGGAACGTGACCCACACCGCCTGAGAAGGAAGCGCAGGTCTGCTGGGAGCTCCAGGGGGGCTCCTCCTCCGTCAATGAGAGGCGGCAGCAGGAGGAGAGAACACGCCTCCATCTTCTGCCGCAATGCCCGGAGCTGCTGCAGCCTCTTGGAACCAGGAGGGCAGGAGCGCAGGGGCCAGCCCAGGCCCTCACTCCTGCCAGCTGATATGCCCCTCCCCCAGCGCGCCCCACTGTGGTGCCGGGCAGACCACGTGCAGGAACGTTCTGGGTGCTCAGCACACGGATCCCCTCGGTCGGCTCCTTGTTCCGGGGAGCACGTCACGTTCCGTGGAGCTGAGGCGAGGCGAGGCGGGCGCCCTGCTTCACGTCACCGGCACAGGCTGCCTGGTACATGCAGCCAAAGCTCCTTCACCGGCTCACAGCACCCCTGCCCCTCGCGACTTTTATCCCAGCTGCCACTTCGGGCTGCTCCGAGTGGTGGCACTGGGAGCCGTCCCTGCGGCCACGCTCCACGCCTCAGGAGGACCTGCGCCATCGTACGCGGCCACCAGCCGCCTGCTCCCCACAGGACTCGCGCTGCGCCTCGTCTCTGACCTGGCGTCTCCACCTGCAGGCTGGGCAGGTGCAGCTCCAGCCGCCGCCCACCTGCCGGCCCCGGCACCCCCCTCTGCCTCTGCCCTGTCCGAGCGCAGCCCAGCCCGTGGCGCCCAGTGCCAGCTCCAGCCTGCTCCCGAGACTGCCCGCCTCCCCCATGGAGTCCTGCCACTGCCGGGTCCCCACCTGCTCCCCACAGCTCCTACCCAAGTAGGAGCTGCTTAGCTGCTGCTTCCCAGAGCCAAGTTCCCCGAGTTGTCCAACCCCACTGCTCCTCTTCAGCCTGGACAGCGGGATGAAGCCCTGCCCCTCCCCCGAGGCCAGGCTGACGACCTCCGGTCACCTTCGCCTTGCAGAAAGCAGGGGTCACTTCTCTGTCCTGAGCTGCCTGGACCCCACAGCATCCCGTGCAGTTGACCGCGCTCTCCCGCTCGGGAACTTTTTATCGTAAAATGGACTGAAGGAGCCCAGGAAATTTCACCTCAGAATGAGACTCCTTGGTATTCTGAACTAGGCCCTTACAGATTAACAGGCCCTTGGAAAAAAACCACAATGGACTTCCCTTCCTCTCCCTGTTATCTCAGTGTATTGCAGGGGAAAAAACCATCAAGAATGTGACCATGGCTGGGCGAGGTGGCTCACACCTATAATCCTACCATTCTGGGAGGCTGAGGCGGGAGGATCAGAGACCAGCCTGAGCAAGAGCGAGACCCCATCTCTACTAAAAAAAAACAAACATAGAAATTAATTGGCCAACTAAAAATATACATAGAAAAAATTAGCCAGGCGTGGTGGCACATGCCTGTAGTCCCAGCTACTTGAGAGGCTGAGGCAGGGGGATCGCTTGAGCCCAGGAGATTGACATTGTTGCTGTGAGCCAGGCTGACGCCACGGCACTCACTCTAGCCTGGGCAACAGAGTAAGACTCTGTTGAAAAGAAAAGAAAAGAAAAAAAGAAAAGAAAGAAAAGAGAAGAAAAGAGAAGAAAAGGAAAGGAAAGGAAAGGAAAGGAAAGGAAAGGAAAGGAAAGGAAAGGAAAGGAAAGGAAAAGATCCGATGAGATTATGAGAAAGAGGTGTGAGGGAGACCCTCGGTCCGCCAGACACCCGGGGGGGCTGGGAGCGAGCACAGTGCCAACGCGGCCCTGGGCGCAGCGTCTGGCCCCGGCCAGTGGCAGGTGGCAGCCGGGCACTCGTGCGTATGCTGGCGTCGCAGGGCCCAGGGTGCTCATGGGCTGAGGGGAGGGCGGAGGCTGTTCTGCACAGGGGGACGTGTTTCCTCCTTGTCCCTTGGGGACCGTCCCCTTCCTGGGGAGAAGAGGGCGCGAGTCGACAGAGCGGCACGAACACCCAGAGCCAGACACAGCCCTCCCGGGACGCGCAGCTCGGCAGTGGGCGTGGGTTCAAGCAAGTGGGGGAGCACGGCTTATCCGATAACTGCTCTCGGGACATCTCAACAGCCACCCAAGAAGGAGTCTGGCCCCTGCCTCAAGACGCCTCCCACGATGAATCCCCAGTGGACCACGGAGGCCGACACGAGAAAGCAAAACCTGCGCTGAATCAGAAGAAACGGGGAAATAAGCTCGCAGTGGCCCGAGTCTGCCACAACACCTAGACAGGACCGAAACCGAGGCCACAGACGTACAAAGGGTGCATCACCTCCTAACAGAAACGCTACTTTGATTGGACACAGTTCCGGTCTGGCCGCAGCCCGCAGGAGAGGTCTGGGGTGAGCCACAGCCTCGGATGGCGCTGGGGGCGTGGTGGGGACTCACGCACCAGGCCCAGCGGGGAGGTGACAACAGCTGAAGAAAGGAGAAGCGCAGACACATCTGGGGAAGCAGCGCCTCGGAACCTACCCCCCCCCCCCCCCCCCCCCCCCCCCCCCCCCCCCCCCCCCCCCCCCCCGCCCCACAGCAGGAGCCCGGGCATGCGCGGTAGCCTTGTCTGTGGTGGCCAAGGACCTGGACCTTGAACGCCCTCGCGGGGAGAGTGCTCGGTGAAAGCGGGTCTGCTCCACGCGGGACCGCACCGCTCCCCAGGAGCCGGGCAGGACAGCCCCTGCTCACCCCGCACTCGCACCTCACGGGGACGGGGACAGGGCAGGGACGCAGCGCTGCCTGTCTGGAGGCTGCACTTTCCTCCCTCTCTCTCCTGGCTGCACACTGGTCTCACGGAGCTCCCCAAAGGGGGCCCCTCAAACAGACCCCCCTAAAAACTTCACGATAACTGTGCTCAGGGGCGTGTGGTTTAGGAGTCGGGAGCCCGAGGGTGGGACTGCAAGGCAGGGCAGGACCAGGTCTGCACAGAGTGAGACTCTCTTCTGCAGCGACAGGACGGCCCACGCGGCACCCAGATCCCATCTCAGGAGAACCCCGAGGAGCCTCTGCGAGCTGCTGTGCTGGAGCCTGTGCTGGAGCCGCACGGGGCCGGCCCTGCTCGGTGTGGGAAGTGCCAGGCCCCAGGGGAGGTGGGGAGACCTGGGATTGATGTGCTATTAAACCAAAGCGCAGGAATTTCTTTTTTTTTGAGGCAGAGTCTCACTCTGTTGCCCAGGCTAGAGTGAGTGCCATGGTGTCAGCCTAGCTCACAGCAACCTCAATCTCCTGGGCTCAAGCGATCCTCCTGCCTCAGCCTCCTGAGTAGCTGGGACTACAGGCATGCGCTACCACGCCCGGCTAATTTTTTCTATATGTATTTTTAGATGGCCAATTAATTTCTTTCTATTTATAGCAGAGACGGGGTCTTGCTCTTGCTCAGGCTAGTTTCAAACTCCTGACCTCGAGGGATCCTCCTGCCTCTGCCTCCCAGAGTGCTAGGATTGTAGGCGTGAGCCACCACGCCCTGCCAAGCGCAGGAAATTGCATGCATAGAAGGAAGGCGGGCGCTGGGTCTCTACGGCCTGGGTGTGGCCCACACTACCCCACCCCTACCTGCAGGGGAGTCGTCCTGAGAGGTGAGGCCAGAAGGGCTGGAGCCCAGGTCTAGCAGCTTCCATGTGTCCTGCAGGGAGCTGCTGGCAAGTGAAGATGACCTGTGGGTGTGGCAGCGGTCTTCCTCAGGGAATTCTAGAGCCTGGGGTGGCTTTGGGGACCTGTTTTCTTTCTGGTGAGTTGATCTGCAGGTCACCGTGGGGCTTCTGTGCTGCTTCTACAAACTCGAGAAAAGACACAGGCGTCCTTGAGAGCCACTCTCCCCAACCCGGGAAACACCAGGGCTCCCACCCGCTCCCTCCTGGATCAGTGAGGGGACGGGCGTGGCGCAGACAGGGCTGAGAGGGGACGGCACCGGGACCCCTGGGAGGCCAGCAGGGTTGGGAGCACAGCTGGAAGAGCCATCTGGGCTCTGGGAACACGGGGTACGGGCAGAGCCTGAATCACAGGGCTGCTCTGAACATAAAGGATGAAATAATTATAGCACTAAAGCAGCTTGATGAAAAAAAATGACAGTAATAAAAATAAAGGACAAAACAAGTCTGGGGCAACAGCTGTCCAGTCATGATGGAGTCTGGGATGAAACGAAGGGCATGTGCCCAAAATGGCTGTCGCTACAGCTGCACAGAGAGGAAGGCCGTCACGGGCCATGTGCACTTCAGGTGTCCCAGTGCCCTCCCACCGACTCATGGCCGTCCCACCGACCCATCTGCCTCCCACCGACCCATCGTCCTCCCACCGACCCATCCCCCTCCCACAGACCCATCATCCTCCCACAGAGCCATCCCCTTCCCACCGAGCCATTGGCCTCCCACCCAACCACCCCCCTCCCACCGACCCATCCCCCCTCCAGAAATGAGCAGGACCAGGTCTGCAAGAGCGAGACTCTCTTCTGCAGGCGACAGGACGCCCACGCGGCACCCAGATCCATCTCAGGAGAACCCCGAGGAGCCTCTGCGACGGCTGTGCTGGAGCCGTGGAGCCGCACGGGCCAGCCCTGCTCAGTGGTGGGAAGTGCCAGGCCCCAGGGGAGGTGGGAGACTGGATTGATGTGCTATTAAACCAAGCGCAGGATTTCTTTTTTTTTGAGGCAGAGTCTCACTCTGTTGCCCAGGCTAGAGTGAGTGCCATGGTGTCAGCCTAGCTCCAGCAACCATCTCCCTGGGCTCAAGCGATCCTCCTGCTCAGCCTCCTGAGTAGCTGGGACTACAGGCATGCGCTACCCCCCGGCTAATTTTTCTATATGTATTTTTATGTGCCAATTAATTTCTTTCTATTTATAGCAGAGACGGGGTCTTGCTCTTGCTCAGGCTAGTTTCAAACTCCTGACCTCGAGGGATCCTCCTGCCTCTGCCTCCCAGAGTCGCTAGGATTGTAGGCGTGGAGCCACCACGCCCACTGCCAAGCGCAGGAAATTGCAGGCATAGAAGGAAGGCGGCCTGGGTCTCTACGGCCTGGTGTGGCCCACACTACCCCACCCTACCTGCAGGAGTCGTCCTGAGAGGTGAGCCAGAAGGGCTGGAGCCCAGCAGCAATTCACGTGTCCTGCAGGGAGCTGCGCAAGTGAAGATGACCTGTGGTGTGGCAGCGGTCTTCCTCAGGGAATTCTAGAGCCTGGGTGGCTTTGGGCCTGTTTTCTTTCTGGTGAGTTGATCTGCAGGTCACCGTGGTTCTGTGCTGCTTCTACAAACTCGAGAAAAGACACAGGCGTCTTGAGAGCCACTCCCCAACCCGGGAAACACCAGGGCTCCCACCCGCTCCCTCCTGGATCAGTGAGGGGACGGGCGTGGCGCAGACAGGGCTGAGGGGACGCACTGGGACCCTGGGAGGCCAGAGGTTGGGAGCACGCTGGAAGAGCCATCTGGGCTCTGGGAACACGGGTACGGGCAGAGCCTGAATCACAGGGCTGCTCTGAACATAAAGGATGAAATAATTATAGCACTAAAGCAGCTTGATGAAAAAATGACAGTAATAAAAATAAAGGACAAAACAAGGCTGGGGCAACAGCTGTCAGTCGTGAGGAGGTCGGATGAAACGAAGGCATGTGCCCAAATGGCGGTCGCTACAGCTGCACAGAGAGGAAGGCAGTCACGGGCATGTGCACTTCAGGTTCCCAGTGCCCTCCACCGACCATGGCCGTACCCGACCCATCTGCCTCCCACCGACCCATCCCTCCCACAGGCCATCCTTCCCACCGAGCCATTGGCCTCCACCCAACCACCCCCCTCCCACCGACCCATCCCTCCACCGACCGCATCCCTCCCCTCACCCCCTCCCACCTACCCTCCCCTCCACCTCCACCCATCCCCTCCCACCGACCCATCATCATCCAAGGGAGGTGGTTGGGTGGGAGGGCCAATGGCTC